AGTCGCAACTGTATTAACGGTGTTAAGAAAAAGGAAACAAACTTGCAAGACGTTTTCGTCTTGCGAAGCAAGCCCATAGGGAAATTCGTCTTGCGAAGCAGCTCAAAAAGCGGAAAACCCTTTCGTCTAGCGAGTTTTCTGTCTTGCGAGGCATTCGTCTTGCAGGGCACCACTGTACTGAAGTTTTGGAACTAGAAGGCTGGGACAAAATACAGGGTTGGCATGGATATTTATTCTATGGGAAAATACAATTGCATAAAGGATTTACGAACCGCCTTGTGAGAAAGGCCCTATTTGAGGTATGTGAGAGAACGAAAGAGAGAATTATAGAAAGAACTCCATGGTGGACCTCTCCAATAGAGGCAACCTCGACATTAAAAAAAAATTTGCCTGGCCAACCTATAGAGATTTAGCAGAAGGAATGAAGGAAAATATCAAATTAAAAGAATACGAAGAACTCAAAATACTGGGAATAAATTGGTTAGACTATTTCCAACTTAAGGCTACATATGAGAAAGATATAAAAACTGGGGGATTTGGGGATAAAATATCAAAATTAGAAAGAGAGGTTTTACAAAATAATCAAAAAAACACTCTCTAAAATATATAGATTATTAGACAAAGTCCTCCCAGATCAAGAAGTCAAAGCAGTGAATATTCTAAAATGGGAACGGGATTTAGGATATACAATTGATTCTGAAGATTGGAAAAAGTTTTGGGGAAAAAATATAAATTTTACAGCTTAGTATTCATTAAGAGAGAATTATATGAAGATGCAGCACAGATGGTATATGGCACCAGGCACACTGGCAAAAACGAATAGATCAAATAGTAATAAATGCTGGAGATGTAATAGAATGAAAGGCACTCTATACCATATGTAGTGGACATGTCCAGAGATCAAAAAATTTTGGGAGATGATCCATGAAGAGATTAAAAAATTGATAAAAGTATCATATATCAGGAGGGCAGAAGCATATTTACTAGGAATCTTGAGTAAGCATATCCCCAAAGACAAAATTAACATCTTTCTGTATGCAACAACAGCAGCGAAAATGTTGGTAGCCAGTCATTGGAAAGGAAATTATATCCCAACAAAAGGGGACTGGTTAAGTAAACTATGTGAGTACCTGGAGTTAGCAAAATTGACGGATTTAATAAGGCATAAATCCAAAACTATAATACAGAAACAATGGGAATGCTTAAATGAATATTTATACAAGCAGGGCTCAAATACGAAAGTTTGGCTGCGCTTAGACTAACCTTGTGAAGAATACAGATAACATAAAGATTTGACGGATTATGAAAGAACCTAAGGAAGGGAAATGATTGAAGAACAGATGTAAAGGCGAGCAAGATAACGAAGAGACGTGCGGTGAATGCGGTGAAGTCTTTTAAAATATTTTAACTAGGATTTATATATTGTAATGCTTGAAGGAGTCAAAATTAAAGGGGTGAAGCAGTTAGCAATTCAAGCTAAAGAGCTAGCCCAGGAAAATGAAAAAAAAAGTAACTACACTATCTAAACAGGGAACTGCCGGACCCCCAGAGAAGAGCTAATATGATTTTGGGAGGAATTCCGGAAGAAATACAGGCTAAAGAGTTGGAAGAAACTTTGAGAACCTGTCTATGCTCCACCTCCATTGTTCTGCCCGGACACTGAGGTCCAGTGCCGAGGGCCTTCTGGCGGTTCCCTCGGTATGAGAAGCCAAGTAACAGGGAACCAGGCAGAGGGCCTTCTCGGTAGTGGCACCCGCCCTGTAGAACGCCCTCCCATCAGATGTCAAAGAGAAAAATAACTACCAAACTTTTAAAAGACATCTGAAGGCAGCCCTGTTTAGGGAAGCTTTTAATGTTTAATATCTTATTTTATTTTAGTGTTTTGTTGGAAGCCGCCCAGAGTGGCTGGGGAAACCCAGCCAGATGGGTGGGGTATAAATAATAATAAATTATTATTATTAGTAGTAGTAGTAGTAGTAGTAGTACTCAAGGAGTTAGTTTGAAGGCAGAAGATGTGGAACGAGCACATCATTGCCGAGGGCCTAAGGGGAGAAAATCCCCCAGGAATGTAATAATTAAATGTTCTAGAGAGAAGCTGCAACAGCAGGTGTATCAGACTTTGAAGAAAATCTGGGATATCATATAGTTAAAGGTATGTATAGAGGAGAGTCCTTAAAGTCATTGCAGGAAGTAATAGAGAATATAGGTAACCAATATTGGTTAAAAATTGGAGGACTATACAACAAAATTTCCAAAGTCCAAGAGACAGGAAACAGGAGTTTAGAAGAGCCAATAGAGGAACTATACAAACAAATGAACAGACAACCCAACTTATTCAAAAGATGTGGAGTAAGGAAGAACAAGTTAGCGAAGCAACGGTTGAAAGGATAATGAAAGGAACAGATGAGATTAAAGTAAGGAAATTTAGAGAGCTGAAATTAAAATTATTTCTAAAATGGTACAGAACTCCGGCCCAGCTTGCTAATATGGTAGCAGGATTGAATTCTAGCTGTTGGCACTGTAAACAAGCCAAGGGATGGTTTTCCCATATGTACTGGGAATTCCCAGAGGTAAAGGAATTCTGGGGAAAAATACTAAAGGTTATTAATGAATTTTTAAAAATGAAGCTTTCAATAGATTTTGATTTCATGACAATGGGTATACTTGGAAACATGGCAATAGAGAAAGGGGACCAGTTTACCTTCAAAGCTATGATATTAGTGGGAAAGGCAACGATAGCTTTAGGTTGGAAAGAGAGAGGAAAATGGACACTAGAGGCATGGAATACTTATTTGTTTGAACTTATTCAGTCGGACATTGTCGCAGTCATGTCACAGGAAACAATGTGGAAGGTCAAGTCCACCACAATAAGGAACAGAGGGAACCCCTATCTTGAATGGATAAAAACTACTGGAACAAAAGACATTCTGTGGAAATGAAAGACGCTATGCCCGTGGCTGAGGGTAATTGTTTGAACCCTTCCAATGGGTATGGGGGGGGGAGGAGGAAAATTTAAAAATTGTATGGGAAATTTAAAAATTGTAAGAAGATAATATATGTATGTAAAAAATCCTGAACTCAAATAAAATAAAATAAATTTTTAAAAAAGAAAGAAAGTAATGCAAAACAGATTAATCAATTCCAGACTTTTAAAAACAACTCCTAAAACAGCAATTTAACATGAATTTTACTATCTAACGAGACCATTGATCCATAAAATGAAAGCAATAATCAATGTACTGTACTATAAAAGAAAGAAGACAGTACTTTAGATTAAAATTAAAATTATTATTTTTTCTTACCTGCACTGATGATAGACATTGTTTGGGTGGGGGGTTTTAAACATTGCCACAGTCACACAATCAATCAAAAACAAACAACAAGCCACAGTCACACAAAAAAAGCCAAATAAAAAAGCAATTTCTTTTAGCAAAAACAAAAGCACCAGATATAAGCTCCAAATATCACCTCAGAACACTGCAAACTGGAAATGGAAGGCTTTAATTACAATGGGGGGGGGGAGCAAATTAGCAGCGGAACAGTGAAAACAGAAGGAAGAAGGCTTTGATTACAATGCAGGGGGACACAAATTAGTGCAACAGTGAAAACAGAAGCTTATCAGCATGTTCGGCTTCCGAAGCAAAGTTCACAAACTGGAACACTGACTTCCAGGTTTGCAGCATTTGAGTTCAAAGTTGTTCAGGAACCAAGCTGTTAGAAAACCGAGGTACCACTGTATATAGACATGGTTGCCATACATCCAGAATTGTAAACAGCGTCTGGGCGGAAATTGCTGAAATGTCCAGGAAAATCTGGACATATGGCAGCCCATGTCGCAAGTGTAGATTTCGGCAAACTTCACTTGAAATAGATATGCCCCCCCCCCAGTTCCTTCAAGCCCTCCTCATAAGGCTTGGTTTCAGACCCTTGATGATCTTGATTGACTCCTCTGCATCATCTTCATGAAGTTTTCCCTTAGCATGTAGCAAGCTGTAAACCTTAAATTTACTTTCCACAGTTGTTCCCATAAAGCAAAGTCAGTGTTTTGTCCTACATCTCTGGCCCAGCTTATCATTGATGATTTTATCATTTCATTCCTTGTATCCCACTCAAGTATCATTTAGATAACATTTTAACCCTGGAGCCTAATAAATCCCTTTCAAACTGTGAGTTTTGTTCTGCAAATCCATTTTTAAAATCTAACTTAAATGTTACATTCAACTGATGGTAAATTGACCAGTCTCCCTCCCACCTAGAGGAAGAAGTTCCCTTTATAGGGACCCCACATACAATGAAGCAATACCACACGGCCCTAAACCTATCCTCCCAATACGTCGAACTTAGCGGGTAAACTATTGGTCTGCTGTGTCATAGTTTTACTGGACGGTTGGATAATATTGGCAAGAGCGCCTGTAATCTCACAGTCACCACTTCCCCGGAATAAGAATCACTTCCGTCCAAACCAGTAAGTATGTCTGTAATTATGACCATCTGACCAATGTCTAGATGACTTAAGCCCTATATCGGACTCCTCTCCATGGGTTTCCCCCCGAATATAGAGCATGGTCCAATCCCCTGGACATTCTCAGACTTACAGAAGTCCTTCTCAAGGTCATGAAGGACTCTGAAGAGGTGATTCAAGCAACAGAAAAGAAGATTTCTCCTAAAGATCAGGAAGAACTTTCCGATAGCAAGAGCCAGCAGTGAAAAGGAACTCCCTCAGAAGAGAGAGGACTCTCCTTCATTGGAGGTATTTAAGAAGAAGTTGGATGGCCATCTGTCATGGATGCTTGAAATGAGATTTCTGCATTGGCAGGGGTTGGACCAGATTCCAAATCTACCATTCTATTATTCACCCTGCTGTGAGTTCTTGAATTGACTTTTTTACGAGTGAAGTTTTATCCACATTCCATGCGCTGATATGCTTTCAACACTGTATGAATTATTTGGTGGGCCATGAGAGTGGCACTCTGACTGAAGATCTTCCCCCATTCCAAAAACTAAGAAGTTTTCTCTCCTGTATGAATTATTTGATGGGAAGTGAGACTCTGGCTGTGACTGAAGCTTTTTCCACAATCCAAGCACTGATATGGTTTCTCCCCTGAATGAATTCTTTGATGGGAAGTGAGATGTTGCCTGTGACTGAAGCTTTTTCCACAATCCAAGCACCGATGTGGTTTCTCCCCTGTATGAACTTTTTGATGGGAAGTGAGACTCTGGCTGTGACTGAAGCTTTTTCCACAATCCAAGCACTGATATGGTTTCTGCCCTGTATGGATTCTTTTATGGATTAGGAGATGGGGGCGTTGACTGAAGCTCTTTCCGCATTCCAAGCACCGATATGGTTTCTCCCCTGTATGGATTCTTTTATGGATTATGAGATGGGGGCTTTGACTGAAGCTCTTCCCACATTCAAAGCACTCATAGGGTTTCTCCCCTGTATGGATTCTTTGATGCAAAGTGAGAATGCTGCTTTCACTGAAGCTCTTTCCACATTCCAAGCACTGATGTGGTTTCACTCCTGTATGAACATTTTGATGGGAAGAGAGACTCCGATTGTGACTGAAGCTCTTTCCACATTCCAAGCACTGATACGGTTTCTCCCTGTATGGATTCTTTGATGCAAAGTGAGACTGTCCTTTCGACTGAAGCCCTTCCCACATTCCAAGCACTTATAGGGTTTCTCCCCTTTATGAATTTTTTGATGGGAAGAGAGATTGCTGCTCTGACTGAAGCTCTTCCCACATTCCAAGCACTGATAGGGTTTCTCCCCTGTATGTATTCTTTGATGCAAAGTGAGACTGGACTTTTCACTGAAGCTCTTCCCACATTCTAAGCACTGATAGGATTTCTCCCCTGTATGTATTCTTTGATGCAAAGTGAGACTGTCCTTTCGACTGAAGCTCTTCCCACATTCCAAGCACTGATAGGGTTTCTCCCCTGTATGAATTCTTTGATGGGAAGTGACTCTTGAGCTGCAACTGAAGCTCTTCCCACATTCAAAGCACTGATATGGTTTCTTCCCTGTATGAATTCTTTGATGGGAAGTGAGACCCTGCCTCTGACTGAAGCTTTTTCCACATTCCAAGCACTGAAAGGATTTCTCCCCTGAATGAATTATTTGATGGGAAGTGAGACTCTGCCTGTGACTGAAGCTCTTTCCACATTCCAGGCACTTATAGGGTTTCTCCCCTGTATGGATTCTTTGATGGGAAGTGAGACTCTGCCTGTGACTGAAGCTCTTTTCACATTCCAGGCACTGATAGGGTTTCTCCCCTGTATGAATTCTGTGATGAGAAGTGAGTTGTGAGCTTTGATTAAAGCTCATTCCACATTCTAAGCACTGATAGGGTTTCTCCCCCATATGAACTTTTTGATGGGAAGTTAGATGATCCTTTCGACTGAAGCTCTTTCCACATTCTCTGCAGTGATACAATTTCTCTCCTCTGTGAATTCTTTCATGTGAAGTGAGGCTATCCCTCCGAATGAAGCTCTTTCGTTGATGGGAGGTGGACTGGGAGCTCTGGTCGATGTTCTCTCCATACTCTGAATATTTATTTGATTTCTCCAATATGTGGATTCTGTTGTGGTCCCCCTTGTTCTTCCCTTCCCATTCATCACCATCTGCAATGAAGAGAGAAGCTAATTATCGCCTCAGGAAGAAATGGAGCTCCAGATTATTGAACAGAGTTCCCCGCCCCCCCAACTCACTAAGAGACTTGAGAGTGCTCCGTTTCAGCCTCAAGAGCACAGCCTTGAAGTCTAACTTAACGGCATTGTAGATGTGTGGCATCTTCAACCCCCCCAACATTTGAGCATGCCTGAGGGGTGCCTGACTCTCTTGAAAACAATGGGGTGCCATTGCCAGCATACTGTGACCGGGGCGCAGATGACACACAACCATCAAACCCACCACCTGACCCCTCCCCCAGCAATGCACTGCCATGTTAGGGTAAGTCGTGCTAACTCTGCATCGCTGCCCCGGACCCCAACCCCACTCAGAGCGAAGGGGACGTGGTTCACATCCATTATTGAACAAAGTTAATGAATGCTTGTGATAAAGGAAGGACTGAAGTTAGATGTGAGGCCTTACAATAGTTTTCACTGCCTTTGTTGGCTGATATTAACTGACATATTGCTTGGCTTTTATCTGGGATAGATTTGATTTGGCTCAATCCTGGAATCCACCCCATATTCAAGGTCAGTCATCTCTTTGGTCAATCAAATGCAAACTTCCCTAAAAACTCTCAAGCCCACATTTAAGAAGGCCTGGGTGGTTCAGACAAGCCTGGTCATTGTTTCAAAAGGCATGACTAGACAAAGAATATTCACAAACAGTTGATATCCCTCCATTCAGGGCTCACGGTGTGGATGTTAGAATCCCAGATGCTGTTGATCTCCACCCAAATAGTGGAGGTTCATCAAATAGAGCAGGGATGTCCAACAGGTTGATCATGATCTACTGTTAGATTCCTGCAAGGTTTTGGTCAATCGCAGTCAATCGCTGACCCCCTCCCAGATCCTCCCTCCATTGTTGGAGAATGGAAGACAGAGCTTACAAACTGAGGCTGGAGGCTGTTTTTCCCCAGCGCTCCTTTGGTGAGTTGCTAATAAAAGCTCAACAACTTTGACCTGAACCCCTTCAAACAGGGGTAGATCACTCCCAGTTTTTAATTCTGTGAGTAGATCGCAGTCTCTTGGAAGTTGGCCACCCCGAAATAGAGGTATGTATGGAATTTCAAAATTGATGTTTAATTGATGTTTAATGAGAGGGTCCATGATCCCACAATTCTCCTCCTTGACTTCCTTACGCAAAGCTCTCTTGTCGGGATCCAGCAACATCCCTGCCTCCTCTGAAACAAGCAGGAACATCTTCACCTGCACACTCCCCACCAGCAGTTGCCTCAATATAAATTTGGTCTAAATTTAAACTTTTTTCTAAATCTCTTACTTCACTTTGAATCTCCTCTCATTTCCCGGAGACCAACTCTGTATACCGTATTTTTAGCTCCATAGGGTGCACCGGACCATAGGGCGCACCTAGTCTTTAGGGGAAATAAAGAAAAATAAAAGAGGAATGAAGCCAAGACAGCCAGCGGGATGGATCCCGCTCACTGTCTTGGCTTCCTCTTTAGTCGCACGCAAACTCTCCAGCCGGGAGAGGCTACGGGCGGCTTTGGCAGAAGCCAAGACAGCGAGCGGGATGGATCCCGCTAGCTCTCTTGGCTTCGTTTTTAGCTGCGGGGCTGGGGCAGGGGAAGCCTGAGCTTCCCCCGACCCCAGCCCCCAGAACAGGCAGCTATCCAAACCCCCGCTGCGCATAGGATGCACAAACATTTCCTCTTCATTTCTGGAGGGGAAAAAGTGTGTCCGATAGAGCGAAAAATAAGGATAGTTTAATTGGTAACATAAGATGGAAAATGACTATTACTCACACTTAATCTAAGCACAACGGCCACAAGAGCTTTTGACTAGGAATTCGGCTATGCGAAGTTGAATGTTCTCTGTTCTCTGCTGTTTACCCTTTTTTGTTTCAATTTATACCAATTCATGAACTCAGAACTCATATACTGATCACCAACGAGGAACGACATGTTATTCCTGCAAATTTATTCTGCAAGTTTTGAGATATACAAATGACATGAGAAGAATGAGTCTATACATTTGTATCATTTATTAGTCCTATAATCCTTGCTTTTAAAAGCAATAAAAAGTTGTTCCAAAAGAAAAGATAATGGGGCAACTCACGGAGGCCCCACCTGCAGTCAATCCTGAAATTAGGATCAGGTAATATAAGAATTTAGGATCAGCTTCTAGTGCTGCGCGATGGATCAGTCACTTGTTCTGTTGCTCTGTTCTCTCCTATCTCTCCTCCTCCCCCCGCCCAATTTAAACCAATTCATGAACTCAGAACTGATACACTGACCACTAATGATGAACCATATGTTATAGAAATTCCTTCAAATTAGTTTTGAGAATCATATGAGAAGACTGAGAAGACTCAGTCTACATATTTGTATCATATATTAGTCCTATATGATCCTTGTTTTTTTTAAAAAGGAAAAGTTATTCCTAAAAGAAAAGAAAAAGGCAAAACACAGAGGCCCCATCGGCAATCAGTCCTGAAATTAGGTTCAGGTAATTTAAAGAATCATGGCTTCTAGTGCTGCGCAATGGATCAGTGAGTTCTCTGACATTGGTAGGGCATTCAGAGCACAGTACTGGCGCCAATACATCGCGGTGGCCGGGGAGCTGTGATGTATTCCTAGCTCAAATTGCCTGCAGATGTCAAAGGCGCTGGAAAGCAGGTGGAGGAGCCCAAAAAGGTGCTCACCTTCTCAATCTCCATCCGCCTGCCTGCCTCATCCCACCCCCAAAATGAGCAAGCCCCAGTACCTCTCCAGCCCCATCCATCCATGTCCCCATCTCCCCTCCCCTGGGACTCACCAGATCTCTTGGAGGTCCCTGGGAGGGAACGCTCAGAGGCTGTGAGGAGGGATGCAGGAGACAACCTGACCAGGTCAACTGTCCATCTTCCCCCTTCCATCCTCGCTAGGTTTACAGATTCAGTCTCTTTCATCCTTCCTGAGGAGTCGAGAAGCCACCACAAGCTGCTCATTCATTCATCCACTTTACAAATATACACTTATAATGCTGCAGGTTATTACAATAATCCTACAAATGTTCTTATCTGTTTACAGTTTATCCGTAAAAATTCAATAAACCATTTCCGTTCTTTTATAAAAAGTTTGTTATCTTGATTTCTTATTCCTCTGGGTAAGTTTCACCATTTCTGCATATTCCCTAAGTTTTTGTATCCATTCTTCCTTTGCTGGGACTTCTTTCCATTTTGGGGCAAGTAAAATTCTATACAGTTTCTGCTCCTTCTTTGGAGATCACTCGTAACCGAGTAAGTTTGTCTTCCATAGACACAGTTTTAACAATGGGTCCGTAGGGGACAGTGTGGGAGGCAAAGAACAAAAGACATGGGGGAAAGCCCCCTTAGTGCTCCATAAATTTGAGTCAGGGAAAGGCTCAAAACAGTAGGGCAAAGAGAGGTGGAGTAAGGGCTTGGGGATGCTGACAGGAGGTCAGCTGCAATTTAAAGCAACAGTAGGAAATGTAAGAGAATGGGCTGCTGGGGGGGCAGAGAGAGAGAGTGAAGCCCTGTGGTGACAATCTGGGTGCTGATGCCGCGCCGGAGAGCGAAGGCAGCAGCACCCAGGTCCTGGGATCAGAGCCACCAGAGCTGGGAGCGATCCAGGAGCGCTGCTTCCCCATCATGGACTGGGCATGGTGAAGCAGGCCGGAGCCGGAGGAGGCTGCCCCTCCCCCCAATAAATAACACCTTAGGCAAAAGAATCCGAGCATGGCTGGCATGCCCCAAAGAGGAAAGGGGCATAAAGGGGAGGGATGAGCATGAGCATCGGGATGCCAAGCGCAGCGCACTGCTGCCACGTTTCCCCGGGGACATTTTGGGGACAGATTTGCAAATCAAGGGACTGTCCCCGGGAAATGGGGACGTCTGGTAACCCTGATTTGGGTGTCTCCCATATCCTCGTCTGACACTCTCACCACTACACCATCCTGCCTTCCTGAAGTCCTTCTGCATTTATATAGCTATAAAAATTTAAGTAGGTAAATAAATACGGAGAAAGCAAAATGTCACAGAGGTGGATCTGAATTTCCCCCCTCAAAGCATAAATGTGTTTTATTTTGGATTGCTTTATTTCATGTTTTAATGTGTTGCAAGCAGATTTGAGTTTTTTTACTTTAAGATATAAAGTGGTATAGAAATGATATTTTTTTCCTTTTTAAAAAAATGCTTTATTGAACTTAAACAAAGAAAAAAACATACATTCATGTCCATTGTTTACAAAGAAAATAAAATTAAGAGAAACCTATATTTTCTGGCAAAGAAAATATTCTTAATATACATCTGACTTCCCGTCGTCTCCATACTTCATTTAACCAGTGTGGTGTAGTGGTTAAGAGCGGTAGTCTCGTAATCTGGGGAACCGGGTTCACGTCTCCGCTCCCCCACATGCAGCTGCTGGGTGACCTTGGGCTAGTCACACTTCTTTGAAGTCTCTCAGCCTCACTCACCTCACAGAGTGGGGGAGGAAGGGAAAGGAGAATGTTAGCCGCTTTGAGACTCCTTCGGGTAGTGATAAAGCAGGATATCAAATCCAAACTCCTCCTCTTCTTCACCATTACTGACTTATTGCAAAAACATATCCACTTGTTGTATAATAAAATATTATTTCTCCTGTGTCCTTTTTCTTACTTAAAACAGCTACAGATGTCATTCAAAGGATGTAACCGAGTTCAAGCTGCAACAACTTTTCTTAAGATATCTTCTTAAAACTTCCCATTTTGAAATAAATACTTGTTTTGAATTATCTTTTATTTTTCGGTTGGTTTGGCTAGCTCTGCATATTAGACCAATTCTTGTAACCATTCTAACCTGGAAGGAACTTTATCACTCTTCCAATTTGTCGCTATTAGGACTCTAGCGGCAACAGTGGCGTATAAAAAGACCTCCCTTACATTTCTAGGAATATCGGCGCCTGTGATAAAAAGGCTTCTGGTTTTTTGTGTGAAACAAACATTTAACATTTTTGAAAGTTCTATATAGATGTCATCCCAGAAAACCTTTTTACATAGCCACCACATATGGAACATTGTGCCTGCTCCTTCTCCACATCTCCAAAAATTAGTAAAAACATTTTTATACATTTTTGAAAATTTCCATGGGGTCAAATACCAACAATATTGCATTTTTTTTGGAAATGTTACCTCAAGGTTTAGCATTCTGTGAATTTCAGATTTACTTTCCATAAATTTTCCCAATTTCATATCTGTGTTATATCCAAAATCCTGGGCCCATTGAATCATGACAGCTTTAATCTCCTCCTCCTTGACTTCCCAGTCAAGAAGAAGAAAAGTTTGGACTTGATATCCCGCCTTTCACTCCCCTTAAGGAGTCTCAAAGCAGCTAACTATCTCCTTTCCGTTCCTCCCCCACAACAAACACTCTGTGAGGTGAGTGAGGCTGAGAGACTTCAGAGAAGTGTGACTGGCCCAAGGTCACCCAGCAGCTGCATGTGGAGGAGCGGAGACGCGAAGCCGGTTCACCAGATTACAAGTCCACCACTTTTATTAATAGTTGTTTTCACACACAAAATCAGTGTGATACCTTGGTTTATGAACTTAATCTGTTCAGAACAGGTCTGTCCTTAAACCAAGGCATGCTTTCCCATAGAAAGTCATGGAAAATGGATTAATCCATTCCAGACAATGAAAAACCCCCACTAAAACAGCAATTTAACATGATTTTTACTATCTAACAAGACCACTGATCCATAAAAGGAAGGCAATAATCAATGTACTGTACAATAAAATAAATAAGACAGTATTGTAGATGATAAAACTCAAAATTATTTTTTTCTTACGTGCACTGATGATAATAATTGTTTGTATGGGGCGCTTTTATCCATTTCTGCAGTCACACAATCAACCAGTAGCTGACCTGGGTTCCACACAGTCACAAAAACAAAGTCACAAGCCACAGTCAAAAGTACCATAAAACAATGAACAAGACACAGTAAAAATAAAAGAAAAAGCCACACAAACAAAAACACAAAAAAATAGCAAAGACAAAAGCTCCAAATATCACCTGTGTGTTGTGTGGGTGCTCCGGACTCAACGGCCAACAGACTCAACAGGAAGCCTCTGATTGGCAGTGGGGGACTCAATTTACAAACGGAACACACTCAACAAGAAACAGAACATGTTCTGTTTCCAAGGCAAAGTTCACAAACCCAAACACCTACTTACAGGTTTGTAGCATTCTTATTCCAAGTTGTTCATAAACTAAGTTGTTCATAAACTAAGCTGTTCTTAAACCAAGGTACCACTGTAGTTGGCACTGGGAATCTGATTAACCCACATATTGTGAGAAACATCCACGGTCCTGATTCAGTCCACAAGTGACAGCACTGAACCTCTTGGTGGATTGTCACGCTAATCTGCCTTTGAGGTTCATTTGTTCCAGAGAAGTAAACAAAACAAAGTGAATGTGTTTCCACACTGCCCCATCCAAAGAAGGGTGAACTCTAGAATTCTATGTAAAAGAATGAGCATTGAGTGAATGTTCACTAAGTTTCCCACGTTGACTGAAGCTCTTTCCACACTCCAAGCATTTAGTGTTTCAGCCCTGTATGAGTACGTTTATGTAAAGTAAGGTGTGTCCTCTGACGGAAACTCTTTCCACACTCCATACATTTAAATGGTTTCTCCCCTGTGTGGGTTCGATGATGAATATTAAGGGTGCAACTTTCGCTGAACCTCTTTCCACACTCCATACATTTAAAGGTTTTTTCCCCTGTGTGAGTTCGTTGATGCAAATTAAGCTGATTCTTCCAACTGAAGCTCTTTCCACACTCCATACATTTAAAAGGTTTCTCCCCTGTGTGAGTACGTTTATGTAAAGTAAGCTGTGCACTCTGATGGAAACTCTTTCCACACTCCATACATTTAAATGGTTTAACTCCTTTGTGAGTTTGCTGATGTTTACAAAGTTTATCACGTCGACTGTAGCTCTTTCCACACTCCAAGCATTTAAACTGTTTCACCCCTGTGTGAGTTTGCTGGTGTGTTCTAAGGGCTTCACTTTGACTGAAGCTCTTTCCACACTGCATACATTTAAATGGTTTCTCCCCTGTGTGAGTTCTCTGATGTTTACTAAGTTTATCACGTCGACTGAAGCTCTTTCCACACTCCAAGCATTTAAAGTCTTTCACCCCTGTGTGAATACGTTTATGTATGTTAAGGTGTGCACTCTGACGGAAACTCTTTCCACACTCCATACATTTAAATGGTTTAACCCCTGTGTGAGTTTGCTGATGTAAAGTAAGGTGGGTACTCTGACCAAAGCTCTTTCCACACTCCATACATTTAAATGGTTTAACCCCTGTGTGAGTTTGCTGATGTGAAGTAAGTGAGCTGCTATGACGGAAACTCTTTCCACACTCCATACATTTAAGTGGTTTCTCTCCTGTGTGAGTACATTGGTGTTCTGCATGTGTTCGACTATCAGTGGAAGTCTTTCCACATTCCAAACATTTAAATATTTTCTCCCCCGTGTGAGTTCGCCGATGTGAAGTGAGGTGTGTCTTTCGTCTGAACCACTTTCCACACTCTAGACATTCAAATGGTTTCTCCCCTGTGTGAGTCGATTGATGTACACGAAGTGAACTAATATGACGGAAGCTCTTTCCACACTCCATACATGTGAATGGCTTTCCCCCTGTGTGAATTAGTTGATGTTTTCTAAGTGTTCCCCTGTCACGGAAGCTCTTTTTACACTCCATACATTTAAATGGTTTCTCCCCTGTGTGGGTTTGATGATGTGAAGTAAGGTGGGAACTCTGACCAAAGCTCTTTCCACACTCCATGCATTTAAATGGTTTCTCCCCTGTGTGACTTCGATGATGCATATGAAGGGACCAACTTTCACTGAAGCTCTTTCCACACTCCATACATTTAAATGGTTTCTCTCCTGTGTGAGTCCGTTGATGTCTTTTAAGTTTTCCACTCTCACTGAAGCACTTACCACACTCCACACATTCATACTGTTTTTCCCCTGTATGAATTCGCTGATGTCGTTTAAGAGTGGCATTACTACTATAACTCTTTCCACACTCATTACATTGAAATGGTTTTTCCCCCGTGTGAGTTTGTTGATGGTTTGTAAGGTTTCCACCATCAATAAAGCTCATTCCACATTCTGCAGAGTTCTGTCGCTTGTCTGCACCACCTGCTTTGAAGCAAAGGGAGAAATGCTCTTAGGGTTTCAAGGAACATCTTTGTATGAAGGGAGATATATAAATTACATAAATAATGATAAATGTCTAGAAAAAATTAAAGTGGGAGAAATGTTTCAAATAAATAAATAAATAATCTATAATTACTGAAAGCATTTCTACAACACCCTTTATCCATATTTCTGTATTAGTCTGGGTAATAATAATCATTTAATCATGAAGTGCGGGGAAAACATGTAAAATCAAAAGGCTGTGAGAGGAAAAAGGTTTCTGGCTACTCTATGAAAGCAGATTCCAGAAACAAAGAGGAGCATGGGAAAAGGCCTCTCTGCTTCCTTCTTCCTGCCTTTTCTCTCCTCTCCATCTTTTCCCCTTGCCAATGTGTTTCCCTCCCCCTGCAACTCACCAGATCTCTCTGAGGGCCCTGGGAGGGAATGCTCAACAGTTTTGGAGTGGGATGCAGGAGGCAGCCTGACCAAGTCAACCATCCATCTTCCTCCTTCCATTCTAGCTAGGTTTGCAGAATCAGACTCTTTCATCCTTCCTGAGGAGCTCAGAAGCGAAAATGAGCTGCAGGTTTCTGAGGGATGAAGAAACAAAGGGAGCCTCACATTTAGTCTTGACACCTGGCTATCTTAGCTGCCGTTTCTGTGTGAAAAAGGTTATGAAGCTTAATTTACAACTCAAATAATCTGGTATGGCTCTGGGAATGCTTTTCATCTTCAAGGCCTTTTGATAAGCAGGATTCGGCTGTCGAGGCTCCTAACAAGCCTGAGTTATTGTTCTTCTATCTAACCATTGGCGAGTTGCTAATTAATCTAAAGAACTGATTGGCTTTTGAGTTTTGAATCCACGTGGGTTCAAAGGGGAAAAAAACCTAAGGAAACCAACTTGCAATTCCCTAACATACCTTGCCATGTGAGACCAGCGTCTTGCAAAGAGGACTTGCCCTGATGCCAGGAATGCGGAGAACAGGTCTGTTTCACACTTTCATTCTCCTTGTGAGTATGTTCTGTAGTTAGTGATATTGAAAAATGTTTTTATTTTCTGTTTGGGATTTGTAAGAGATGTGCCAACTTTTACGTTTGAATAATCTTGGTTTTTTATTGAATTCCGGAAAAAGGACTTTTCCCTGTTTCTGTCTTTTGTGCCTTTCTGCCGGGGAAGCTAAACCAGTACCTGACCACTTAGTCGCCTACCAGAGCCTGATGGATTTCTGTCTGTGCCACAGTAAAGTGACACAGTGTGGGGCAGCCCGGTAAAACTGAAGAGTAACCTCCTTCCTTAGGTAACTTTTCAGGGCTGTTCTAAGATAAGGAAGTGGTGGCAGCAAACTACTGTTTCTGTTTCTTTATGTTCTGAATAAGCTTTGGCGCACCCCACTCTCTCTCAGCCGGGTCTTAACAGAGTTGGAAGGCAGGCTGGAGAGGTGGGAGACTGTTCGCGAATGCTACACAAGCCCCAGTACCTCTCCAGCTCCATATCCCCATCTCCCCTCCCCTGGGACTCACCAGATCTCTTGGAGGTCCCTGGGACGGAACGCTCAGAGGCTGTGAGGAGGGATGCAGGAGACAACCTGACCAGGTCAACTGTCCATCTTCCCCCTTCCATCCTCGCTAGGTTTACAGATTCAGTCTCTTTCATCCTTCCTGAGGAGTCGAGAAGCCACCACAAGCTGCAGGGTCCTGGGAGAGAGGAAGAAACAAAGGGAGCCTCAGAGGCCCTGCAGGGATTCTCCTGCCCTAGATATTCCCCTGCTTCTGGAGAAGCACAAATGGGGCAGCCCCTTCCCAACAGAAACCATCTCCAGTGATTCCAATTTAATCTGTTGGCACCTCACCCCACTTTGTAAGGCTGGCATGGTATGCACAGTAGTGACCTGAGAGTGGACCCCATTGAACTCAGTGGGGCTTATGGATAGAACTTGGTGCAAAAACCAGGCACCATCCTGTCCCCAAGCCTGAAAACTGCAACCCCAGAGCATGGGCAGAATACAGCTGAGTAGCTATTACATGTAGGTGCCCCCATGACTCAATGCAAGAGATGACTTAGCAGTTGAGCTGGCTGGGCCCCAAACCTCTTTCTGCTCATCATTAGAGCTGCTAAGAGACCCTAGAAGGTTGGTAATAGGATCTGGCTCCTGCTGTTTCTTAGCCACCTCCTCATTTTCCTTATTCACGCAAAATGGAGTGATTTTTGGTTGTGCTTTCTTTAGAGAAATTCTCTTTGGAGCAGGGCCCGGGGCACTCGGGGAGAGACCAGAAATTTTGTAACCACTCTAGGTCAACACCAACTTTCCTCTTAATTCCTCATCATGTTTCTTTACACCATTTGTAGCAATTAAAGCTTTTCTAACTTTAGTCTGCAGGAACTTCTGTGTCATTCACTTAGTGTTCTGCAGAATGCGGAGGCTAGACTGGTGACTGGGAGTGGCTGCTGGAACCATGTAAGACCGCTCCTAAAGGATCTACTTTCAAAGTGTTGGTGCTGACCTTTAAAGCCCTAAACGGCCTCGGCCCAGGATACCTGAAGGAGCATCTCCACCCCCATCGTTCAGCCTGGACACTGAGGCCCAGCACCAAAGGCCGTTCCCTCAGTGCAAGAAGAGAAGTTACAGGGAAGCAGGCTGAGGGCCTTCTTGGTAGTGGCACCCTCCCTGTGGAACACACTCCCATTAGTTGTCAAGGAGATGAGTAACTATGTAACCTTTAGAAGACACCTGAATGCAGCCCTGTATTGGGAAGTTTTTAATGTTTGATGTTTCATTATGTTTTTATATATGCTGGAAGCCGCCCAGAGTGTCTGGGAAAACCCAGTCAACTGGGTAGCAGGCAAATATTATTGTTCTTATTATGATTATTATCATTCACACAGGATGCTGATCAGCTTCACCCCAGTGCCTTGCCAGGACAGGAGGGGCATGGTCTTCCTAAAAATATTGAGCTGAGCAAGGCTGGATGCAGTTCCTGCTCCCAAGAGTGGCTCATGCCAGTCTGTGCACTTGCTCTGCTGGGAGGGGGCAGATGTTTAGCTGCTGATCCATCACAAGGTTGGAAACCAGATCTCACCCGGCCCTAGTGACTCCTCCCAAGAATTCTGGGAGCCAGAATTGGTTCAGGACCCTGAGAGTTGCAAGGAGACAGCTTCAGCCCTGCTGTGCAAAGACTGCAATTCCCAGAGTGGTCATCAATCCCCCCTTCTTGCCAGGGAACTCTGGGAATTGTATTTTGGTAGATGGTGGGAGAGGGTCTCCCCTCCAGTCTCCACACTTGGGGGGGGCTGTATCTCCCCACTCTACAGGGCTTCTCCTTCCTCGGATTCCTTGGATGCTTCTCTGTGTTAAGAAATGCGACTTTCCCCTCAATCTGAAGGGGGCTTATTTGCATGCCCTCTTTTTGTTGCCCCAAAGACTCCTCCCCAAAAAGGAAGGCAGCATCTTGATCCAAAGGAAGAACAGAGTTCCAGACCTGCTGGACACTCAGCCCCTGACTTGGGGGTCTCCCCTCCCCATGCATGAGCTGAACAGGGGGGGCGTGCCTCCTCCCTTGCAGCCCTGGGACCCCCTTCTCCCCGCTGCACCCCAAGGGGGAAGAGAGAAGAGACTCACCAGATTCCAGGAGGCGCACCGAGGAAGCTTTTGCAAAGCAGAGAGAACAAAGCAGCCTCCTCTTTGCTTGCAGGAAGGGACTGGGCAGGGAGGGGCTTCTGCTCGGGAGGACCCTGCCCTCCCCCGCCCTCCCCTTCCTGTCCTCTCTAGGAATCCCGCTCTGCTCCTTTTAACCCTTGGCAAGCCGAGGGCACCAAGACCGCCCCTCCCTCTCCCTGCCTGCAGTTTTCCTGCTTCTGCGCTCTAGGGGCTGCCCTCCCTTCTCCATCTGGGCCAAGGACTCTGCATCAAGGGCCCCCCCCCATCTTATTGCAGACTGACAAGGGAGGTGGGGGTTTCTGCATTCTGCAGTGTGAATCTGGATCCGTACTTGGAAATGACTAAATAAGTGAGTTTTAAGGGCCTCTCCTGGAAGCGCCTTCCCTGGGACCCACCGGCAGGGTACGTGGGATCCGGCTGCGAAGTTGGGGACCTGCAGGGTCTCCTTGGAAGTCTCTCCCCACCACCCACCCACCCGCGTTTCTCTTTTCTTGGGGGGCCAAGAGATGCTCCCCTGCCCTGCACCCCCAGGGGCCCCTTTGCGGAAACTGAAGTGCGATGCCCACCAAAGGGAAGGCGAAGGTGAAGGACCCCTGGACCTTTGACCGCAGACAGCTCCCCCCCTTTCTTCCCCACACCAAACATAACCACAGTTTTGAAAATCCTTCATATTCTGGGCATGCGCAGATTTTGCAGCTTTCTGTAAACCAGAGGCAGGGAAGAAGTGGCCAAAGAACAACCTTGCAGGAAAGGGGCCTTGTGGGCTGAGGTGCAGGATCCCTGAGCATCCAGTACAGGAAAAACTGAACAGGCATCATAGAGGGGGGTGGCACCCCCGCCTGAATCGCAGAAATAGACTCCCGGAGGAGCGAGCAAGGGAGGCAGATGGGCAGAGAGGACAAAGAGATGAAGATGCAGTGATGGGGAAGGGAGGGGCCCCCCCCAAAAGGGTCCTTACTGGGCCCCGGATCTATGCAATCCAGCTGCAAAGTGGGAACCCAACACCTGCAGGGGTTGCCTGGCAGGATGAAGCCCCTCCCCCCTCAGGAGATCACCCTCCCCCCACACACAATATCACTGGAACATTCAAAAGGTAAAGGACCCCCTGGACGTTTACGTCCAGTCAAAGGCGACTGTGGGGTTGGGGCGCTCGTCTCCGCTGTCAGACCGAGGGGCCTGGCGTTTGTCCACAGACAGCTTTTCCGGGTCATGTGGCCAGCAGGACTAAACCGCTTCTGGACTAAAACTCATAGGGGCCAAGGTCCCGTTGTCCCCCCCCCCAAAAAAAAGTTGATTGACATTAAAATGGTGAGGGGTGTGTGGCATCATCTCATCCATTAGACTGGGAGGAAGAGGGTGTGGGGAGGGAAGCCCAGCCAAGCATTGCCAGGGGACGGTTGGGGGTGATGATACAGAATTTCTTGGAGGGGCTCCAGAGCATCTTCCTCCTGCTCAGGAATCTGCTTGAAGTAAAGCGGGGGGTGTCCTATTCCCACTGCACCCCTTTCCTCCAGGGAGGTTGGATTCATGGAATCCTAGGAAATGTCAGAGCCAGCCAGCCAAAATCACAGAGAGCATGTGATGAAGCGAACTCATTATTAGCAGAAACAAGGACTGCTCCAGGGAGCCAGGAATAGTCAGCACTCAACTCTTCTCAGTAGTTGCAGAGATCCGGGCGGAAGAATGTCAATGGTCTTACATCCGACCTTAAACAATGTAGGTTATCTAGGCTAGCTAGAGAGCAAGGAGCTGATATAATGTGTCTTCAAGAAACCCATTAACCAAAAAAAAAAAAAGACAAGAAGCCTTATTTAATAATTTAATGATTCAGCTTGGGAGGTATTAGCAGAAGCAAGAAGTAAAGCGAAAGCAAGAGGGGTAGCAGTCCTGGTAAAGAGGAGAATAGATATTAAGATGACAGAAATGGTGTTGGACAAGGAAGGTAGATTTATGGTGCTTAAAGGTAAACTGGAAAATGAAGTGCTAACAATAGTGAACATTTATGCTCCAAATAAAGGACAGAATAAATTCCTAAATAAAGGACTTTTAAAAATTTGCCAGTTCTCAGAGGGCAAAATTATTATAGCAGGCGATTTGAATATGGATATCACAAAAATTAAAACAATTCATTCAGTAATTGGGGACTGCAAGAAGCACCTGGCATCCTAGGTTTAAAACCCAAAGCTACCCATATATCCAGCAGGCATAAACAGCATCCTGTATAGACTTCCTTATTTTGGGAAAGGTGAGTAATTGGGTAGTCAAAGGAATTACAACACACCCAATATTAATTTCAGACCATGCCCCTCTAAGTATTGAGTTAGAATTAAGACTGAGTAAGGACAAGAGACCTTACCATAATAAAGGACAAAAATGGTAAGGACCTAGCAGAAGACATCAAGAAGAGGTGGCAAGAATACACAGAGGAATTATACCAGAAAGATATGGAGGTCTCGTACACCCCAGGTAGTGTGGTTGCTGACCTTGAGCCAGACATCCTGGAGAGTGAAGTCAAATGGGCCTTAGAAAGCACTGCAAATAACAAGGCCAGTGGATGTGATGATATTCCAGCTGAACTGTTTAAAATTTTTAAAGATGATGCTGTTAAGGTGCTACACTCAATATGCCAGCAGATTTGGGAAATTCAGCAGTGGCCAGAGGATTGGAGAGGATCAGTCTACATCCCAATCCCAAAGAAGGGCAGTGCCAAAGAATGCTCCAACTACCGCACAATTTCACTCATTTCACATGCTAGCAAGGTTATGCTTAAAATTCTACAAGGCAGGCTTAAGCAGTATGTGGACCGAGAACTCCCAGAAGTGCAAGCTGGATTTTGAAGGAGCAGAGGAACCAGAGACCAAATTTCAAACATGTGCTGGATGAAAGCTAGAGAGTTCCAGAAAGACATCTACTTCTGCTTCATTGACTATGCAAAAGCCTTTGACTGTGTCGACCACAGCAAACTATGGCAAGTTCTTAAAGAAATGGGAGTGCCTGATCACCTCATCTGTCTCCTGAGAAATCTCTATGTGGGACAAGAAGCTACAGTTGGAACTGGATATGGAACAACTGATTGGTTCAAAAGTGGGAAAGGAGTACGACAAGGCTGTATATTGTCTCCCTGCTTACTTAACTTATATGCAGAATTCATCATGCGAAAGGCTGGGCTGGATGAATCCCAAGCCGGAATTAAGATTGCCAGAAGAAATATCAACAACCTCAGATATGCACATGACACAACCTTGATGGCAGAAAGTGAGGAGGAATTAAAGAACCTTTTAATGAGGGTGCAAAAGGAGAACACAAAATATGGTCTAAAGCTCAACTTCAAAAAAACGAAGATCATGGCCACTGGGCCCATCACCTCCTGGCAAATAGAAGGGGAAGAAATGGAGGCAGTGAGAGATTTTACTTTCTTGGGCTCCATGATCACTGCAGATGGTGACAGCAGTCACAAAATTAAAAGACGCCTGCTTCTTGGGAGAAAAGCAATGACAAACCTAGACAGCATCTTAAAAGCAGAGACATCTCCTTGCCAACAAAGGCCCGTATAGTTAAAGCTATGGTTTTCCCAGTAGTGATGTATGGAAGTGAGAGCTGGACCATAAAGAAAGATGATCGCCGAAGAATTGATGCTTTTGAATTATGGTGCTGGAGGAGACTCTTGAGAGTCCCGTGGACTGCAAGAAGGTAAAACCTCTCCATTCTTAAGGAAATCAGCCCTGAGTGCTCACTGGAAGGACAGATCCTGAAGCTGAGGCTCCAATACTTTGGCCACCTCATGAGAAGAGAAGACTCCCTGGAAAAGACCCAGATGTTGGGAAAGATGGAGGGCACAAGGAGAAGGGGACGACAGAGGACGAGATGGTTGGACAGTGTTCTCGAAGCTACCAGCATGAGTCTGACCAAACTGCGGGAGGAGGTGGAAGACAGGAGTGCCTGGCGTGCTCTGGTCCATGGGGTCACAAAGAGTCAGACACGACTAAACAACAACAAAAAGTTCAAGACAGAGTATATGGAAAATCAGATCAGGTTATTTTTTCAGGATAATAAAGGATCAGTTACTCCAGAAATCCTCAGGGGTGCAGCAAAATGTGTCTTTAGGGGCAACTGTATAATGAAAGAAAACACTCCCAAACTATCCCAATACGCAGAGGCGTTCGGCAGGGGTGTCCTCTTTCGCCGTTCCTATTTATAACGGCTATAGAACAACTAGCAGAAAGGAGAAGGAACTGTGGAAGGATAGAGGGCTATAGGATTGGGAAAGAGGAGATGAAAATCAATTTGTTTGCAGATGATATTATTGGAATCATAACAAATCCTAAGGAAGAGATAAAAGAATTAAAGATAATATTAGAAGATTTTGAGGAATATTCTGGATTAGGAGTAAATATAACAAAATCAGAATAATGTATTTTAATGTGACTGTAACAAAAAAAAGTAATAAACATCATAACAGGTATGGGCCTGGGGTCTAAAAGAATAAAATACCTAGGCATCAAACTCTGCAGAAATATTAACAAGACTGCAGAATTCAACCATAAGAAGGTATGGCATAAAGTACTAAAGGATATGAAAAGATGGAGAAACAAAACTAAGCATTACAGCTAGAGTCAAGGTTACTAAAATGTTCTGGGTCCCTAAATTGAGCTATCTCTTCCAAGCTGTACGAATTATTTGGTGGGCCATGAGAGTGGCACTCTGACTGAAGCTCTTCCCACATTGCAAACACTAAGAAGTTTTCTCTCTTGTATGAATTCTGTGATACGAAGCGAGACTGCAGCTGTGACTGAAGCTCTTCCCACATTCGAAGCACTGATATGGTTTCTGTTCCTAGATTTATTGCTTTATTGTTTGGCGCCCAGCCACGCTTCCCCTGCGAGCCTCTGCAGCTTCTGTTTACGCAGTGTGGCTTTAGAGCAGTCGTAAAGCAATGAGCAGAATTACACAGCGCCTGTGTGTCGAAAGGGCAGTAAATCAGTCCAGACGTTTCTTCTGTCCTAATATCTCTTTATTGGAAACAAAATAGCGTATCTACAATCCACAACAGCCATCCGTGTTAAGCTGCATTTTCTCTGCCTCCTCTCTCTCTCCTTGCAGCGGCTGAACTGAGTGCTTTCGATTTCCACTCAGTTCACAACATACCAAGCTGCTTTCGTCACGTCCTGGCTTACTTCCCTTGTAAGCCCGTCCCCTCAAGCACGAGGCATAGAAGGTTAACCCTTCACTACACCCAACAGTTTCTCCCCTGTATGAATTATTTGATGAGAAATGAGACTCTGCCTGTGACTGAAGCTCTTTCCACATTCCAAGCACTGATAGGGTTTCTCCCCTTTGATGGGTAGTGAGATTTTCCTTCAGACGGAAGCATTTCCCACAGTCTAAGCAGTGATAGGTTTTCTCCCCTGTATGAATTCTTTGATGGGAAGTGAGACTTTCCATCAGACGGAAGCATTTTCCACAGTCTAAGCACTGAAAGGGTTTCTGCCCTGTATGAATTCTTTGATGGGAAGTGAGATGTTCCTTCCGACGGAAGCATTTTCCACAGTTTAAGCAGTGATAGGGTTTCTACCCTGTATGGATTCTTTGATGGGAAGTGAGATGCCCACTCTGACGAAAGCTCTTTCCACATTCTAAGCACTGAAAGGGTTTCTGCCCTGAATGCGTTCTTTGATGGGAAGCGAGATTGTGTCTGTGACTGAAGCTCTTTCCGCATTCCAAGCACTGATAGGGTTTCTCCCTGGTATGAATTCTGTGATGAGAATTGAGCTCACCACTCTGACGAAAGCTCTTTCCACAATCCAAGCACTGATACGGTTTTTCCCCTGTATGAATTCTGTGATGAGAAGTGAGCTCACTCCTCAGACGAAAGCTCTTTCCACAATCCAAGCACTGAAAAGGTTTCTCCCCTGTGTGAATTCTGTGATGGGAAGTGAGATCACCACTCAGACGAAAGCTCTTTCCACAATCGATGCACTGATATGGTTTCTCCCCTGTATGGATTCTTTGATGGGAAGTGAGACTTTCCTTCCAACTGAAGCTCTTTCCACATTCCAAGCACTGATAGGATTTCTCCCCTGTATGAATACTTTGATGGGAAGTGAGACTTTTCTTGCGACTGAAGCTCTTTCCACATTTCAAGCACTGATAGGATTTCTCCCCGTATGAATTCTGTGATGGGAAGTGAGATTGTCCTTTCGACTGAAGCTCTTTCCACATTTCAAGCACTGATAGGATTTCTCCCCCGTATGAATTCTGTGATGGGAAGTGAGATTGTCCTTTCGACTGAAGCTCTTTCCACATTTCAAGCACTGATAGGATTTCTCCCCGGTATGAATTCTGTGATGGGAAGTGAGATGGATGCGCTGACTGAAGCTCTTTCCGCATTCCAAGCACCGATAGGGTTTATGCCCTGTATGAATTCTTTGATGCAAAGCGAGACTGCGGCTGTGACTGAAGCGCTTCCCACATTCGAAGCACTGATAGGGTTTCTCCCCGGTATGAATTATTTGATGGGAAGTGAGACTCTGCCTGTGACTGAAGCTCTTTCCACATTCCAGGCACTGATAGGGTTTCTTCCCGGTATGAATTCTTTGATGGGAAGTGAGACTGTCCTTTCGACTAAAGCTCTTTCCACATTCCAAGCAGTGAAAGGGTTTCTGCCCTGTATGACTTCTTTGATGGGAAGTGAGACTCTGCCTGTGACTGAAGCTCTTTCCACATTCCAGGCATTGATAGGGTTTCTCCCCGGTATGAATTCTGTGATGGGAAGTGAGACTGTGCCTGTGACTGAAGCTCTTCCCACATTTGAGGCACTGATAGGGTTTCTCCCCGGTATGAAGGTTTTGATGGGAAGTGAGACTCTGCCTGTGACGGAAGCTCTTTCCACATTCCAGGCATTGATAGGGTTTCTCCCCAGTATGAAGGTTTTGATGGGAAGTGAGATGTGACATATGACTGAATCTCTTTCCACATTCGAAGCACTGGTAGGGTTTCTCCCCGGTATGAATTATTTGATGGGAAGTGAGATGTTGTCTGTGAATGAAGCTCTTTCCACATTCCAAGCACTGAAAGGGTTTCTGCCCTGTATGACTTCTTTGATGGTAAGTGAGACTGTACTTTCGACTGAAGCTCTTCCCACATTCAAGGCATTGATAGGGTTTCTCCTCTGTATGAATTCTTTGATGGGAAGTGAGACTGTACTTCGAGTGAAGCTCTTCCCACATTCAAGGCACTGATAGGGTCTCTCCCCGGTATGAATTCTTTGATGGGAAGTGAGGCTATTCCTTCGAATTAAGCTCTTTGTTTGATGGGAGGTGGACAGGGAGCTCTGACGGATGTTCTCTCCACACTTTGAATATTTATCAGACTTCTCCGCTATGTGGATTCTGTTGTGGTCCCTCTTGTTCTTCCCCACCAATTCATCACCATCTGCAATGAAGAGAGAAGCTAATTAGAGCTTCAGGAAGAAATGGAGCTCCAGATTATTGAACAATGTTAATGCATGCTTGTGATAGAGGAAGAACTGAGGAGAGTTAGATGTGAGGCCTTACTATAGTTTTCACTGCCTTTTAGCTGGAATTTCTTGCCTTTTATCTGGGATAGATTTTGTTTGGCTCAGTCATGGAGTCCAATCCATCTTACAGACTTGGAGGTTCTGGTCTTATTTAAAGACATCACCAGCCAAACCTGGGCCAAAGCATATTAACCTGTGTACATAAGAAAAAGAAACGGAAGGTCAAGATGGCTGAGAAGAAAATACAATCTAAAATAACTGTTACTGCCAGCTCCCAAGGTAGGAGACTTTCAATAGCAGAAACTGATCCCAATGCAGATTTGAAAGACTTGATAGTCAACATGAACAAAAATATAAATGATAAACCGGATTCAATGAACAATAAGATTGAACAACATTTAAAAATAATAATAGATCTCCAAGGTCAGGTAAAAGACCTGACAATAAAAAATAAGTAGCTAGACAAAACAGTTCAGGAATTAAAAATCAAGACAAATAAACAAGAAGAAATGTCCAAACGGATTCAGGATGAAAATAAAGACCTGAGGAAAAATCAGGAGATTATACCGGATGACATAACAGAGATAAAGAAGGCGGGGTGCCACCAGGGGGCGCATTGGAAGATGGGTGACAATAATATCTCTCTGACCCACACGAGGTAATTAAGAGGCTGATATGGGAGTATGCAGCCTCCCTTGCCCCCCCAAGGGGATGGGGGGGACTTCCTTGCCAGCTGTGTCCATAATTCACCCCCGGATTCGAAAGAAGGGGGTGAGGGCACTTGGCACAAAGCCCTTGGGCAGGGTCGCTCTCCCGGACACTGTCTGTGATCGCGCACTGGTTTGCATCACTTCGAAATATATAATTGGATAAAGAAGCAAATGCACATACTTCAAGTGAAGATAGGGAGTAAAGACTGCTGATTAATGGGATCTCTGTGTGCGGAGCAACGGGCTGGTCAATAAATCAAGTGAAGACTCATCATTAAAAGACTGGTATGTCGGACTGAAATGGAAAGGGGGGGAGGAAAAAACTTTTCTTTTTTCCGTCTTATGTGAGTACCCAATAATCCTCCCTCCCAGAGAGAAAGATTGTTGCAAATTATTAATCACAAACTGGAGATTAAAAACTGTGTGGAATTGAATTATAGATCAAAGAGAGGACTGGTGGGAAAATCGGGAATGGAAGGAAAGCTTTGTGACGCAGTTTCAAAATGGAGACTTGTCAAGACGGCCTGCCTGCAGGAGGACGGGGGGGAGGAGGACCGTGGTCATTGGAATGTGAATGTATGGTGATCGGAATGTGAATTTGACCCGGCAGGGCCCCCTGAGATACAGATATGCAGGCCGGTGGAAATCAACGGACAGACTGTAGGAATGTTTTTTACGGAGGGTGGAAACGGTGGCTGTCCTTTATGTGATATGGCTCCTGGAGATTGTAAAATCCACACAGGATATGTTTGTTTCCAACCCGCTTGTGAAGATTATCAGAGATCACAAAGAAAGGAATATATGATTACAACAAGAAGATGAGGAAAATAATAAAGAGACTATCTGGACAGAATTGGACAGAACTGTGAAATTAAAGCAGCAGCAAGAGTGATGTTTGGATCCCTTTCGGAGCGCGAAGTATGGGTACCCCCTAATAAAATTTTAAAAATTTGGCTGTATAATTTGGAACTAATGTGATTTGGAATTAATGTGATTTGATTGGCCTGTTAATAAAAAAAAAATTATAAAAAAAAAACAGAGATAAAGAAGGCACAAGAGCAATTATTAGATCAGATTGCCATCTTGGACATGTATCAGCATCAAATGGTTTTGCACTTTTGAGGAATTCCTGAATCCCAAAATAAACAAATTGAGAATAAAATAATCCAAGAGTTAGCAAAGTGGATGGGAGTACAGGAAGACGAATTATTAATGGATGTGGACAAAATATTTAGGATCAGATCAGAAAGATCAAACATGTACAAAGGCCCAGGAGATTGCCTAGTGTTTTTAAACTCAAGGCTATTCAAAGACAAAATATTTCAAAAAGAAGCCAATGTAAATTAGTAATCGATGAACAGAACATCTCAGTTTTTAAGGAACTGCCAAAAAGATTAGTTGAGAAAAGACAAAATTATAAAATTCTCACAGATGCCTTAAAGAAAAATTCAGTAAGATATAAGTGGGAATTTCCGGAGGGACTGACATTTACGTTAAAAGAAAGAAAAAGAAACCTAAGATCAATAGAAGAAATGGCAAAATCTTGGAGAAAGTATAAAAAGGAGCTTGGAGAAGAAGCATCAACGGAAAGAGAAGAGGAGTCGGAAGGGAAAGAATAGAAACCTCAATGCAGAAGGACAATTGTTAGATAAGAACAATAGAATTAATTCATTTGAATTTAGAATTTTAACATAGTAAACAAATTAGATAAAATTGAATAGAGACTGAGGAACTTGAACATAATTTCTTGGAATGTAAATGGTCTTAATAGTAAATTGAAAAGAAAGCAAATAGAGTATATTCAGAAAAAGGGAAGATGGGATGTTGTATATTTGCAAGAAACCCATGTAGCAAAAAGACATAGAAGGGTATTGATAAACAAGAAGCTAGGAACAGAATTTATATCATCAGATCCCAGAAAGAAAAGAGGTATTGTAACATATATAAACCCTCAAATAGAGACGAAACTAATTTTCAAGGATGAGGAAGGCAGATTATTGGAGTTACTATTGGAAAAAGGGATGGAAAAAATGGTGGTGGTAGGGATTTATGCGCCAAATGGGAATAAATCACAGTATTTTAAAATAGTGCAAGATAAATTATTAGAATATATAGATGATGAGATTATTCTATTAGGTGACTTCAACAGAGTCACCTCATTGGAATATGATCGCACCAACACAACAAAGAAGTCAAAAGGTGGTAGACTTCCACACACTTTTTCCCAAATGGTTGAAAATTTAAATTTAAAAGATGTTAGGAGATATAAACATCCACTAGAGAAACAGTTCACACACTATTCACAGGCAAAAAAATCAGCAAGAAGGATCAATGGTATCTGGATCTCAAATAATTTAATGTTAAGAAAAAACAAAAACAGAAATACAACCTAGACTACTAACAGATCATAATTCAGTTACACTGGAATTAAGAGATAACAGAAAGGTAAAAAGAAGATGGAGAATGAATGACAAAATAAATAAATGATGAAAAGATTCTAGGTAAAGCACAGGAATTACTTAGAGAATTCTTCAAATTAATAAAGAGCAAGATACAGAGTAGAATAATATGGGAGGTGAGAAAAGCTGGTATAAGAAGATTTTATATTCAACAAAATGTGATTCATAAATGTATCAAATTAGAAAAGAAATAGAAGAAAATGAGGAAATATTAGCCAAACATCCAAAACAAGATCAAGATAGAGCTAATGTCAAAAATTATAGACCAATCTCTCTACTTAATGTGGATTACAATTTTTTTGCTAATAAATTGGCCAACAGGCTGAAGAAGGTCATGTCAGAATATATCCATAAGGACCAGGCAGGTTTTCTGCCTGGAAGACATATGAAGGATAATATTAGGAATATAGTAGATATTTTGGAGAAGTGGGAAGCAAGAAAAAATTGTAAAGCAATGTTAATGTTTATTGATGCGGAGAAGGACTTTGATAATGTATCTTGGAGTTTTATGACACATAATTTAGAAAGTATTAGGGTTGGTCAAGAGTTTTTAAACGGTATTAATGCGATCTATCAGGAACAAAAAGCTAAAATTATAGTAAATAATGTGGTATCAGAGGAAATTAGAATTGAGAAGGGTACCAGGCAAGGGTGCCCACTTTCCCCTCTGCTCTTTATTTCGGTCCTGGAGGTCTTGTTAAGTATGTTAAGGAAAGATGAACAAATTAAAGGTATAGTAGTAGGATCCAAACAGTATAAATTAAAAGCCTTTGCAGATGACTTGGTGTTGACATTACAAGATCCAGACTCCAGTGCAGTAAAAGCACTGGAGATGATACAGGAGTTCAGACAGGTAGCAGGATTTAAGTTAAATAAGAGCAAAACCAAAGTATTAGAGAAAAATCTGGACGAGGAAAGGAAATTACTACAAGAAAAGACGGGTCTACTTTTTGTGAAAAAAGTTAAATATCTGGGGGTTAATTCGTCGGTGAAAAATTTGAATTTATACAAAGATAACTACAAGAAATTATGGAATGAAATCAAGAGAGATTTAGCGATTTGGTTGAATTTAAAATTGTCATTAATGGGCCGGCTTTCTGTGGTTAAGATGAATGTATTGCCAAAGATGTTTCTTTTTGTTTCAAGTCCTCCCAATTATTGACAATGTGAAATGTTTTAAAGAATGGCAAAAAGCTTTATCTAGATTTATCTGGCAGGGGGGGAAACCCAGAATTAAGTATAAATTACTAATGGACTCAAAAGAAAAAGGGTGATTGTCCCTGCCAGATTTGAAGATTTATTTTGAGGCTACAGCTCTCTGATGGGTTAAGGAATGGATACCACTAGATGATGCTGATGTTTTAGACTTGGGGGGATTTGGCAATGTGTTTGGATGGCATGCTTATCTATGGTATGACAAGGTAAAGGCCCATAATGGTTTTAAAAATCATGTAATTAGAAAATCTCTATATAATGTTTGGATAAAATACAAAGATCTCATAGAGAGGAAAACACCCAGATGGCTTTCGCCAATGAAGGCAAAGGCCCCCCAATAGTTAAATATGGAAACCAAGTGGTTGAGATACGCTGATCTGTTACTGGAAGATAAAAAGGATATAAATTAAAACCATTTGATCAAATTAGAGATAAAATAAATTGGCTACATTATCACCAGATTAATGAACTGTATAAATTAGATAAGAAAAATGGTTTTGCTTCTGAAAAAACTTAAGTTGGAAACGGAGTTGTTGGACTCTAAAGTTAAAAATTTGTCTAAAATGTATAATTTATTGTTGGAATGGCACACAAAGGATGAACAAGTTAAATCTGTGATGATAGACTGGGCAAGAGATGTGGAACACAACATAATGTTTGAAGATTGGGAGAGGTTATGGAGGAAAGGGGTTAAGTTCACTGCATGTACGGTGTTAAAGGAAAATATAATAAAAATGATGTATAGATGGCACTAAAACTGGCTAAAATTTATAAACTTACATCGAATCTGTGTTGGAGATGTAAGGTATCAGAGGGATCCTTATATCATGTATGGTGGGGGTGTGATAAAATTAAGAAATTTTGGGGAAATATACATGAGGAACTGAAAAAAAGGTTTAAAACAACAATTGGTAAGAAGCCGGAAACATTCCTTTTAGGAATTATAACAAATGACATCCGCAAAGACATGAAGAGAATTTGTTTTATGCAACAGCTGCCGCAAGGTTATTGATTGCAAAATATTGGAAATCAGAAGAAGCAGTAACGTTGAAAGATTGGCAAAATAAATTTTTTGAAATGATTGAATTAGCAAAAATGATGGCAACAATTAGAATGCAATCTAATCAAAATCTCAAACAGGAATGGAAATGTGTAGAAGAATATATGAACAAAAGATGATCCAACAAGAATTTATTGATCTGTATAGACTGATTTCGTTAAGTTAAGCTAAGCTAAGCTAATATATAAGACTGAATGTTAAGATACAAAATTACAATCTCAATAATAAAGTTACAAAATAATAACAAGGAAGTCACGCACGGGTGGAGGGAAGACATAGGCCAAGAAATACGAAATGGATAAATGTTGGTACATAATGAAATGTGAAAAGGTGAATTTACGAATATAATGTATATGTATCAATATGTAAAGATTTCATATATGTATTGCAACATTAATAATAAATAAAGTGCAAAAAAAGAAGCAAAAACAACAAACCTGACAGAAGTTACTTCAACTTCCCTAAAAACTCTCAAGCCGACATTTAAGAAGGTCTGGGGAGTTCAGGCAAATCTGGTCATTGTTTAAAAAGGCATGACTAGACAAAGAATATTCACAAACAGTTGATATCCCTCCATTCGGGGCTCACGGTGTGGATGTTAGAATCCCAGATGCTGTTGGTCTCCTTTCAAATAGTGGAGGTTCATCAAATACAGCAGGGATGTCCAACAGGTTGATCACGATCTACTGGTACAACATAGATTTATTGCATTAGCCGAGTGGCCATAGCATGATATACATTGAAATAACAACATAAAATGGGGGTGGGGAGGTAGAGGTAGATATCGTCCTGGGCGAATACTTAAAAAAAGTGAAAAAAAAAAAAAAAAACTGCTGAGGCTGGAGGAGGACCGTTGAAGGGTCCTTCAGCTCCTCAGATTAGTCCTAACTCGATTGTCCTTGTACAATAAGGCTACTTGGAACTTCGTTCGGTTGTGCGGCGTATCGACTGCAGCTGTGGTGTTAAGGAAGAAGTTAGTGCCGCTTTCCTCTTCATCACACTAAGCAGGAAGTTAGCTGTCATCTCGGTAATCCAACAATCAGAATCCTGCACATCGAGGGACACTATCCAAGGCTGGATTGGGAGATGGAACTTATTCACGAGGGGAGTTAAAAACCGAGATCTTTCATCTGTCCAGTTGGGACAGAAGAGCATTACATGTTCCATAGTCTCCAGGGCCGTGTCATTACAGGAGCATGTTCTGTTTGCGATGGGAACTCTGGAATAACGACCCGACAGAACTGCTGTAGGGAAACAGTTGAGACGGGCACAGGTAAAGGCCCTTCGCTTAGTCTCCGAAGAAATTGTGAAGCAGTATAGAGGATCCCTTCAGGGGGTGGAATAGCTAGGGCTAGGCCTGAACACGGTCCTCTTGCACAAGAAGCTGTGTTGGAGAAGTCAAGTTGCTGTAGTTTCTTTTAATTAGGGGTAGGGCCACCGGGCTGATACACTCTAAGTTAAGAACAGTTTTACAATTCAAATTGAGAAGAGAGCGGAATTTGAGGTTAATTGTAGTTTTCCAAGGGGAATTATGAATATCTCTTAGGATCAGATTGGAAAAGCCACCTCTAATTCGAGCATCCGATGCTAATAGGTGGAAGGTGTAGGAAATGGCTCGACTCCATGCTCGTCTAACAATTGAAGGCTGGGCGAACTCGAGTCGTAGGGCTGCACCTGAGACACATCTCGGGACGCCGGAAAGAGATCTCAGAAACATATGAAGTGGGCGATCCAGGTTACCTGATATTGCTGTAGTCCATACTTCGCATCCATATAATAATTTAGGGACGACTTTGGCATTAAATATTTGAATTGCTGCTGGAAGGTGTTTGCCGCCCTTCTGGTGGTAAAATCGGACAATGGCGTTAGAGGTCGTGGTTGCAGCGAGAAAGGCAGATTGTAGATGGGTGGTCCAGGAGAGATTATAGGTGAATATTAATCCTAGATATTTAAAGGCTTTTACCTTTTCTAAGTAGCCACCTGTGATCTTAAGCGGCTCCAACTTGAGTTTGCGGGAACGAGTGAAGTGGAGGACTTTCGATTTTTATAATTAATATTAAGAGCTTCCGCCTTACAATAGGCGATAAATGCATTAACTGCATTTGCTAGGTCCGCAACTGTTCTGGATAAGATGACGGCATCATCAGCATAGAAAAGGGAAGCAACGGGGTGGCCTGCTAAGTGAGGAGGATACTTAGATGCTAGCTTCAAAGTGGAAATTGCATCATGAAGATAGAGATTAAACAGTAAAGGGGCCAAGAGACAACCTTGTCGGACGCCCTTGGCCGTTGGAAATGGAGTAGTGGGGAGCCGTTAGGACCAGTTCGGACGCGAGCTGTGGTGTTTGAATAAAGGGAGATAATTAGGGAGAGGAGGTGCGGATCAATTCCCAGATGGGCAAGTTTGGACCATAATCTCTGCCTAGGAATGGAATCAAAGGCGGCCTCCAGGTCCATGAAAGCGGCAAATAGGTGGCCTTGCCTTGGAGCAGTGTATTTACTGGCAAGGTGATAGAGAGTTAGACAATGGTCCATGGTTGACGCTGACTTTCGGAAACCAATCTGTTCTAGCGGTAGAATGTTCCTCTCCTGGACCCATGAGAGAAGTTCCTCCAGTAAAACAGCGGCAAATCTTTTCCCGGGATGGATAATAAGCTGATGGGGCGATAGTTCCTAGGGATGTTTGGCTGGCCGCCTTTGAAGATCGGAACTATTATAGCTTCTCTCCAGGAGTCAGGGATGTCTAGGGCGGAGGAGATAGCGGTGAATACAGGAGTCAGGTGTTCGCTCCACCAAAGAGGATCAGTCAGGAAAAGGTCCAACGGGACCATGTCTGGGCCGGGGCCTTATTCCTTTGCATTGACATTATGATGTTGAAAATGCGAGTTGAGGTAAAGTTTATTGAAGAAGTGGGACTAAGAGAGCAGGAACTGAGGTCCGACGGGGATTGAAGGAGATCTGTAAGATGGTTTGGAGAAGCGAAACTAGTTGAATAATAGGCAATCCATTCATCAGCGGAAATCTGGGTAGCTGGATTGAATGGTGCCGAAGGTCTAACTAGGCGCCAGAAGGAGCGGGAGTCATGCCTCTCTACAGCCGAACGAAGAGTGGACCAAGCCTCAAGGATGTGCTGCTGTTTCTTGCAATGAATCATGTTTCTATATGTCCTTTTAATATCTATGAGCTTTGCACGGGTTTGGGGGTCGTTGGAAGATTTGATGATTCTGACCATTTTCCTAATTCGCCTTCTTAGGGCTTTACATTCCTTGTCAAACCAGGGCGATTCAGAGAAGAGGCGTTGGTAAGTAGGCGAGGTGGTGGTTATGTAAGTTGTTGAGAAAGCATCAAGTAATTTCCGGTATTGGTCAGCGGGCAGGATTGGATCAGAGGGAACTGCAGACATATCAAATGATTTTTGTATGTCCAGGGCAAGAGAGGAGCTGAGGCTTGTCCATTTCTTTGTTTTGTATACAGGGTGGCTTTGTACCATGGTTCTATAGTTTGAGGGGACTGGAAGTGGCTCTATTAGGTTTAACATTAGAGTCAATGGAAGGTGGTCACCACCAAAATATTCAGCCACTTCCATTTTGTAGAAATTGAGAATAGCTCCGGCGTCAATAAAATGTAGTCGACAACACTGGTTCCCGGGAAGTGATGCACGTTAATTGCTGCGAGGACAAGGGAGTAATGTTACCATTTGCGATGCAGAGATCGTTTTCCATGGCCAGTTGGGCCATCAGCCTCCCGACGCATTTGTTATAGGATCAAGAGAGCATCTGTTTCCCCAGGGGGGCTGCAGGGGATTGTCCAGGAGTGCTGCGGGAGATATTATATCATCGTCGTTGGGACCTATTCTTGCATTAAAGTCGCCTAAGAGGATTTGAGGGAGTCCTGGGTTAGTTGTTTGAAGATCATGGAGCCAAGACGAAAGTTCAGACCACCTTTCATTGCGGTCGAAATCATTAATTGCTGGGGGCAGATATACTGTAGTTATCAACCATGGGCTTTTGGTCTTTGGGAGATGAATCTTTATGGTGAGAAAGTAAGGGGAAGATTTAATTTCCTCGCAAATAGTGAGGGATAAGCTGGTTGAAATAAGACAGGCGAGGCCAACTTGGGGGCGACCCCTGTTGGTTAGTTTACTGAGCACAGGAGCTAAAGGAGCAATAATTTGGGAGAACAATACTTTGTTGGGACCAGGTCTCTTGGAGGCATACAATGTCGAAAGAAGAGATGAAATTCATTGCTTCAGGATCCATTTGCTTTGTCGCCCAGCCGTTAACATTCCAGGAGACAATTTTAAGGCTCTGGGGTGGGTTGGGTGCGTCTTTCAAGGAAACAACTGCTTTTGCTTGATTTGTGAGTGAGGGTTGAGTCTGTTCATATCTAGTGATGTCGGATTTCCGCGGAGATAGGGAGCCGGCTGGTGTTTGTCTCTGGTCTGATCTTTGTCAATTATTTCCCAAGGTGCTTTTAGGGATTACTTTTTTATGAGCCGGCCCATTGCTCTCCATACATGGCAAACTAGCCAAATGTTCTATAGTTTCGGCTGTTGACTGTTGAATACTGACATTAGTGGTCACCGGGCCTTTGAAGTGTGTTATCTCTTTCCGTAGGTATTTTTCCGGAACCTGATTGTGGCCTAATTCCGCCTCATCTAGATACCTCAGCTTGTCCCAAGAGCCTGGTGAGTTCACCTTCGGGATGGTTCTCCTTATTGGAGGTGGTGTAGTGTTCTCTTCAGTGTGCTGGGCTTCCTTAATTGGGGGTAAATTAATCTCAGCCATTGTCTGAAGGTAACATGGCCGACAGGCCGCTGGGTTTTGTTCTTGTGTAGGGTTCAAATTATAGGAAGTCTGGTCCTTTTTATGGGCGTCCATATTGATTTCCTTGTTTATATCTCTCCCAGCCAGCTTAGTTCTTAGCATATCCAATCTTTCTAATATTTCAGCTTGTATTGGAGATGGAAAATGGCAAAATTGCCTAATTAAGGTATTTTCTTCCGCGGAAAAAAGATCCTCATCTTCATTCTCTTGAAGTTGCAGGTCTTGCAGGTGGGCATCTTTCCTTTTTAATTTTTGAAGCTCTCGTTTCTGGAGACCAGGCCGGGTTTTGGGAGGTTGTTTCTCCTTACTAGGGTTTGCGTGCTTGGCTTCCAGAAGGGGATTCGGTGGTGCCTTGTTTTCAAAAAATCTGAGAATTTTTATCTGGGCCTTTAAGAATATATATCTTGATCTGTAGATAAACTTGGCCAGGTTCTGGTCTCTAAATGTGATCATTGCTCTCATTGAACAACCATCATGATGCAAATAATCTACAGAAATAATGTCATATGGCTTTACTGCTCCTGGCAATATATCATTCAGAACGTTCAAGGAGCTCATTCTTCGTTCTTTCCCTGTAAGGAAACCCTTTGATTTTGGGAAGTTTGTAAATACTAATATTGAGGGATTTAAAATCAGGTTCCAACATCTTGCCTGAGTAAAGGTTTGCCCATCTTGTATAGTGTTGTCATCGCGATTGGGCATTGCATCGTCCCCGTTTCCCGATTTGCTAAGCGGTTTGCTGCCTTCATTGTTAGGGACCACTTCTCCCCCAGAATCTGGCTCACTGAGTGAACTGTTACCAGAACTCTGGGACGTTGCTTCCGTCCTCCCACTTAGTTCTAAACTCTGGTTCAGAGATGCCACCTTAGCCATTAGCTTTGGCGATTGCTTCTTTTTCCCCTTCCTGCCATTCTCTTTTTTATCTCGTGCAGCAGATTTATTTGAGTCCAATGGGAGTAGATTAAATAATTTCTGCCATTGTTTATGTCGGCTTATCTTTATTTTCCTTGTTGTTTTAATGTTCTTAGTTTTCTTTTCCCGGACTTTTGATCTATTTTTTGCAATTTCTTGGTTGTTACTGCTTGTCTCATCTTCACTAGTTCATCTGGGTTATGCACAAGTTCATCTGGTTTATGCACTTGGGGTGCATCGGTTGCTGTTGTCTCTTTTGGTTGGGGAATAAAATTTTCCACAAGGGTCAGCAATAACCCATTTGTTATGGTCAAGTAATTTTTGATGTTGGAAAGGTCTATATTTATATCTTGGAAATGGGCCTGAAGATGGCCATCACTCAGTTCAGTTTGAGTATATTTGGAAGTGGGCGCCTGGTCTTGGTGGCATGTTGTTAATTCTGCCAGGGGCCGCTGGTTATAGGTGACAGAAATATTTTCCACAAGTTTCTCAGCTAGAACTAGCTCTTGCGCCAGGCTTCTTGGGGAATTTGTGTTTCCAGAGTTGTGTTGAAGCTCTTTGAAGTAATGTGACCGGTCAAGATAAGTAAGGGGGAGAGGAGTGACTTCGTCAATAATTGGTTCAATTTGTTCACTCATGCATTCCTCCCTCTTGGGGAAGTAATTTATAATTTTACTTTGTCTCTTTCCAGGTCCCGGGGGGCTAAGTGGCGTATCTGGCAAGATACCCAACTCCTTACATAACTTTCTAGTGAGGACCATGTTGGATAGTTGTCTTCCTATTAGAAAACCAGTTGTCCCCCAGTGTTTCTGCCTAATTAGCAGGGCCAATGGATGAGTAGGGATGAATCTGCAGCTTTCTCCTGCTTAGCTCATCAGCGAGCGCTGGTTCTCAGTATGTTTCTTTGGTGGAGCTGGAAGAGGGAAGAGGGGAGGAAGGTTTGAGAGCTCTTCCGTCAGCTCCCAGTGTCCTTTTTACTGATGAAAGCTGATAGAAGCTGGGGGTTAATTAATATAAGGTGAAGGATGGTAATTATTTTCCAAGCCGAGCCTCTTTATCAGCCTGATTTTGCTGAAGATGGTCTTACTCACACAGACGGGACTCAGACGAGACTCAATGAGGGCTTGCTTCAACCTTTTTTTCGGTGTTTCCGATCACCCACCTTGAGTTTTTTCATTACAATGACGGGGAGTCCCTTCACGGCAGGGGAGTCAGCCAGACCTCTTCCCTTCCCCACTCACTCGTTTCAGAAGATTACTCGGCTCCACAGCACTAAATGCACAGCGGGGGGTGCGGCAAGGCAGCAAGGCTGAAGCACGAAGCAGGTAATAAAACAATAAAGCAATAAAAGCCCGGAGGGGTTAAAAAAACTACTTAGAACTACTTGAGGCTTAGTCTAAAAACAATAAAACAATAAAAACCCAGAGGGGGGTTAAAATAACTACTTAAAACTACTTAAAACTTAATCTAAAGGCAGACGAAGTTAACTAAGCCGCTACCTTCGTCGCCATTTTGGAAGTCCATCGATCTACTGGTAGATCCTGCGAGGTTTTGGTCAATCGATGGCCCCCTCCCGGATCCTCCTTCCATTGTTGGAGGATGGAAGACAGAGCTTACAAACCGAGGCTGGAGGCTGTTTTTCCCCCAGTGCTCCTTTGGTGAGTTGCTAATAAAAGCTCAACAACTTTGACCTGAACCCCTCAAAAACAGGGGTAGATCACTCACAGTTTTTAATTCTGCGAGTAGATCGCAGTCTCTTGGAAGTTGGCGACCCCTGAAATAGAGGTATGTATGGAATTTCAAAATTGATGTTATGATCTAACAGGGAATTTTAACGAGAGGGTCCATGATCCCTCAATTCTCCTCCTTGACTTCCTTACGCAAAGCTCTCTTGTCAGGATCCAGCAATGTCCCTGCCTCCTCTGAAACAAGCCGGAACATCTTCACCTGCACACTCCCCATCAGCTGTTGCCTCAATCTAAATTTGGTCTAAATTTGAACTTTTTTTCTAAATATCTTTCTTCACTTTGAATCTCCTCTCATTTTCATGAGGAGACCAACTCTGTATAGTTTAACTGGTAACAGAAGATGGAAAATGACTATGACTCACACTTAATCTAAGCACGACAGTCACAAGAGCTCCTGACTAGGCATTCAGCTAGGAGATTTTAATTGTTCTCTGTTCTCCGCTGTTTACCCTTTTTTGTTTCAATTTATACCAATTCATGAACCCAGAACTCATATACTGATCACCAACGAGGAATAACATGTTATTCCTGCAAATTTATTCTGCTATTTTTGAGATATACAAATAATAATAATAATAATAATAATTTTTATTTATACCCCGCCCTCCCCAGCCAAGGCCGGGCTCAGAGCGGCTTACAAGCAATAATAAAAACAAGTTGAATGATTACAACTTAAAAACAAAATTAAAATACAACATTAAAATATTGAAACATTAAAATATTAAAATGTAGCCTCATCACAGGAGGAGAAGGAAAAGAAAAAAGAAAGAGAGGGAGGGAATCAAATTGGCTCCAAGCCAAAGGCCACAACTCTGTCTTACAGGCCCTGCGGAAAGAAATCAGATCCTGCAGGGCCCTGGTCTCATGAGGCAGAGCGTTCCACCAGGTCGGAGCCAGAGTTGAAAAGGCCCTGGCTCTGGTTGAAGCCAATCTAACTTCCTTAGGGCCTGGGACCACTAGGGTGTTGTTATTTATGGACCTTGAGGCTCTCCGTGGGGCATACCGGTAGAGGTGGTCCCATAGGTACGAGGGTCCTAGGCCATGAAGGGCTTTAAAGGTCAAAAGCAGCACCTTAAATCTGACCCTGTACTCTACCGGGAGCCAGTGCAGTTTGAAAAGCACTGGGTGAATATGCTCCCATGACAGAGACCCCGTGAGGAGCCTCGCTGCAGCATTCTGCACCCTCTGGAGTTTCTGGGTCAGCTTCAAGTGCAGCCCCGCGTAGAGCGAATTACAGTAGTCAAGCCTGGAGATGACCGTCGCATGGATCACTGTGGCCAGGTCGGGGCGGGAAAGGTAAGGGACCAACTGCTTGATGCGGCGAAGGTGGAAAGATGTCGCATTGGCTGTTGCTGTAACTTGCGCCTCCATGGAAAGGGAGGCGTCAAGGATTACACCCAAACTCTTAACGGAAGGCAATGGCACTAATTGGGCCACCGCAAGAGAAGGGAGTTGGTCCCTCATCCCCATGCCATCCCGACCCAGCCATAGGACCTCTGTCTTCGAAGGATTTAGTTTCAATCGGCTCCCACGAAACCATCCAGCCACAGCTTCCAAGCATCTGGTCAGTGTGTTCGGGGCCGAGTCGGTGTGGCCATCCATCAGCAGATAGAGCTGAGTGTCATCAGCATATTGGTGACAGCCCAGCCCAAAGCTCCAGATAATCTTTTAACATAAAGATGTTAAAAAGCATCGGGGAGAGAATTGCACCCTGCAGCACTCCACACACCAAGGAATGGCGCGACGACATTTCCCTCCCTAGTGCCACCCTCTGTCTCCGACCAGAGATAAAAGAGCACAGCCAGTTACGGGCTATGCCCTGTATCCCCACGTCTGCGAGGTGGTGGTCCAGAAGATCATGATCGACCATGTCAAAGGCTGCTGACAAATCTAAAAGGATCAGCAGTCCTGACCCGCCTCGATCCAGTTGACTACGGAGATCATCTGTTAGGGCAACCAGAGCCGTCTCGGTACCAAAACCAGGACGGAAACCGGACTGAAATGGATCTAAAGCCGATGTTTCCTCCAGAAACCTACCAAGCTGAATGACATGAAAAGAATGAGTCTATATATTTGTATCATTTATTAGTCCTTTGATCCTTGTTTTTAAAAGCAACAAAAAGTTATTCCAAAAAGAAAAGATAATGGGGCAACTCATGGAGGCCCCATCTGCAGTCAATCCTGAAATTAGGATCAGTAATTTAAGAATTTAGGATCAGCTTCTAGTGCTGCGCGATGGATCAGTGACTTGGTCTGTTGCTCTGTTCTCTCCTATCTCTCCTCCCCCCCCCCCCGATTTAAACCAATTCAAGAACTCAGAACTCATACACTGACCACTAATGATGAACCATATGTTACAGATATTCCTGCAAATCTATTCTGCTAGTTTTGAGAATCATATGAGAAGACTGAGAAGACTCAGTCTACATATTTGTATCATATATTAGTCCTTTATGATCCTTGTTTTTAAAAGAAAATGAAAAGTTATTCCTAAAAGAAAAGAAAAAGGCAAAACATCTGCAGTCAGTCCTGAAATTAGGATCAGGTAATTTAAGAATTTAGGATCAGCTTCTAGTGCTGCGTGACGGATCAGTGAGTTGTCTGACACTGGTAGAGCATTCAATCACGGTACAGGTTGTAGACATCTTGAGCTGCCAATACATCGTGGTGGCCAGGGACCTGTGACATATTCCTAGCTCAAATTCCCTGCAGATGTCAAAGGCACAGGAAGGCAGGTGGAGGAGCCCAAAAAGGTGCTCACCTTCTCAATCTCCATCCGCCTGCCTGCCTCATCCCACCCCCAAAATGGGCAAGCCCCAGTACCTCTCCAGCCCCATCCATCCATGTCCCCATCTCCCCTCCCCTGGGACTCACCAGATATCTTGGAGGTCCCTGGGAGGGAACGCTCAGAGGCTGTGAGGAGGGATGCAGGAGACAACCTGACCAGGTCAACTGTCCATCTTCCCCCTTCCATCCTCGCTAGGTTTACAGATTCAGTCTCTTTCATCCTTCCTGAGGAGTCGGGAAGCCACCACAAGCTGCAGGGTCCTGGGAGAGAGGAAGAAACAAAGGGAGCCTCAGAGGCCCTGCAGGGATTCTCCTGCCCTAGATATTCCCCTGCTCCTGGAGAAGCACAAATGGGGCAGCCCCTTCCCAACAGAAACCCCATTTGAAACATCTCCAGTGATTCCAATTTAATCTGTTGGCACCTCACCCCACTTCGTAAGGCTGGCATGGTATGCACAGTAGTGACCTGAGAGTGGACCCCATTGAACTCAGTTGGGCTTATGGATAGAACTTGGTGCAAAAACCAGGCACCATCCTGTCCCCCAAGCCTGAAAACTGCAACCCCAGAGCATGGGCAGAATATAGCCGAGTAGCTATTACATGTAGGTGCCCCCACGTCTCAGTGCAAGAGATGACTTAGCAGTTGAGCTGGCTGGGCCCCAAACCTCTTTCTGCTCATCATTAGAGCTGCTAAGAGACCCTAGAAGGTTGGTAATAGGATCTGGCTCCTGCTGTTTCTTAGCCACCTCCTCATTTTCCTTATTCATGCAAAATGGAGTGATTTTTGGTTGTGCTTTCTTTAGAGAAGCTCTCTTTGGAGCAGGGCCCGTGGCACTCGGGAGAGACCAGAAATTCTGTAACCACTCCAGGTCAACACCATCTTTTCCCTTAATTTCGTATCATGTTTCCTTATACCATTTGTAGCAATTAAAGCTTTTCAAACTTTAGTCTGCAGCAACTTCTGTGTCATTCACTTAGTGTTCTGCAGAATGCGGAGGCTAGACTGGTGACTGGGAGTGGCTGCTGGAACCATGTAAGACCGCTCCTAAAGGATCTACTTTCAAAGTGTTGGTGCTGACCTTTAAAGCCCTAAACGGCCTCTGCCCAGGATACCCGAAGGAGCATCTCCACCCCCATCGTTCAGCTGGACACTGAGGTCCAGCACCAAGGGCCTTCTGGCGGTTCCCTCAGTGCAAGAAGAGAAGTTACAGGGAAGCAGGCTGAGG